CTTCTGACCACAATGGAGTAAAATTAGGAATCAATAACAACAGCAAAGCCCTGGAAAACAGACAGACGTGGAAGTCTAACAACACACCATTAAACTACCAGGGAGTTGAGGAAGGAATCACAAATTTTCAGTCAGTGACAATGAAAGCGCAGCATAGCAAAACGTAGGGGCTGCAGTGAAGGCAGCGCTCGAGGGAAACGTGCAGTAATCAGTAACCACATTCAGAAATGTTTTAACTCAGGCTAGCCTCAATGCCAGCACTTAGACAGTTGCGAGGAAATTAAGTCCAAGTGGACTAGAAAAGAGAAATCGTGAAGATTAATGAAGAAACATATAGAATCCAAAACAGAAAAACAACAGAATCAATAAGCCCAGAAGTCGGTGCTTTCAAACGTTCGATAAAATTGACATGCCTTTAATTAGACTAAGGAGCCCTGGTGGCATCGTGGTTGTGTGTTGTGGTGCTAGTTGCAAGATCAGCAATTCAAACCCATCAGCCACTCCAAGGGAGAAAGAGGACTTTCTGCTCCCTGAAAGATTTACAGTCTCTGAAACTCATGGGGGCCTGGTCTGCCCTGTCCTATAGGGTCACTCTGCCATCAACTCACTGGCCGTGAGTGACTGAGTTAATTAGACTAAGGAAGCCCTGGTAGCATAGTGTGTTATGCATTGGGCTGCTAGGCACAAGGTCAGCGGTTCAAATCACTAGTTGTTCCATAGGAGAAATATGAGATTTTCTGCTCCTGCAAAGATTTATAGGATTTGAAATCCAAAGGGCAGTGTAAGACAGGAAAAAAATAATAATTTATAAATTATCAAGGGTTCATGAGGGAAGGAGGGTGAGGGAGGGGGGAAATGAGCTGATAGCAAGGGCTCAAGGAGAAAGAAAATGTTTTGAAAATGATGACGACAACATATGCACAAGTGTGCTTGACACAATGGATGGGTGGATTGTGATAAGAGCTGTATGAGGTGCCAGTAAAATGATTTCAAAAGAAAAGAAAAGCAATCCGAAGGGCAATCTGTCCTACGGGGTCACTATGAGTTGGAATCAACTTGAGGGCAGTGAGTGAGGATGTTTTTCTTAATTAGACTGACAAAAGAAAAGAGGCAAATAACCAAAACTGATGGCTTAAGAGGTGACAGTATAACTGACTCAGGAGAAATAAAGAAATTACAGAATATTATGAATAACACTGTATGCTAACAAACTGGATAACCTACATGAAGTAGTCAAATTCTTTTTTTT